AGTGGTCAGAAGAATTGTCCCTCTCTCGGATGTGCGAGAAAAACTCGCAAATAATGCATTTTCACGCTGTGAAGCAAGGATTGAGGCAAAGGACAGCTGAAGTCAAAACCCTGTTACAAAGACAACACCCTGCAGAGAATGAGACTATAGTTCGTAGTCTGTTTCAGAATGGGATAGAATAGAATGGGGTTGGTGTCATTTGGCTTCACCCACTCGTGTCAGGACACTGGCAATACGGCTCAGACACACGCACTCAAGATAAAGTACATACGGTCATACGGTCTGAATGCCACTTGCCCCAACGCCTAGGTGAAAAAAAGTTCCTGGTTATTACCAGTGCAAGGGAGTCGAACCATGGAAAAACAGCTCCAAGTCCTATAGGAGCATCATCAAAGTTCAAGAGTCAAAGCTCCAAAAGTTTCCAAAAGCTCTAATTCCACAACGGCGCAAGATCGAGCGGAGAATGCCTAATGGGCCTAATGCATGTCTGTAGACCGGAATCATCCTGCGACAGCCTGAAGACCTCTACGATTGGAGTGTGGCTAAAACATTCACAACTCAGGTGCAGGTACACCGAGTTGATCAGACTCGGTATTCCATGATTGTGGTAGCTTCGTTTAAACTTTGGTCTCACAATCATGCTGTACTTCCTTGCATTACATTTTTTACTAGTAAATCAAATCGAAAAGCCCTCTGATTCCAAGGGTTACACACACAGAGGAATCACAGGACCAAATCTCAGCCGGCGATACAAAGCCCGCATGACTGCATCAGCGATCCTTTCGCCCAGGGGCTTGTGTCCAAGTTCTGCCTAAGTGTCCGTGCTTCCAAAGACGATTCTCATGCAAGGCAGGTAGATGTTGACGCAAAGAGGCAAAACCAACGTAACCAATCCTTTGAATGGGAAACCTACGTAGTGCATCGTAGTGCTGCATAAACACCAAGAAGATGCAGGAAATGTGGCCTGAGCATGTCTGCTGTGACCTCAGAGCCTGGCTTGCCATAATCGATCCATGAAGGACACGTTGGCAGCTTCAGCGACCTGTCATTCATGGCTGCGATACGACCGACTGGGTCTCGTGGTGCGACCGTAGCCGCGGCCGGGGTGGCGGACACGGGCGTAGCTCGCGCCGGGTTTGACCCAGGGAGATGCCGAGATCGGCCGGGACGTCTGGGTTTCCCCACTCTATCTCCAGAGGGGGATCCTGGCGACCGAGGAGACGAGTCAGTGCATCATCCGGCGACCAAACGGACAGACCGAGGTCTGATGTCGACCGAGCTCCTCGTGATGTTGCTGGAGGAAGTGCAGCCAGGAGGTAGGAGAGAATCTTGGTGGCATGCCCACTTCTCTTTCTTCCTTTGGTATCTTGTGTTTCTCACTCTAAGGCTACCCATCGGACCCATCGTGGGTCCCGGTTGGACTAAACAAGACAAAAAGAAGTCCAACGACCTCCCAGATCTACCCAGTGGGCAAGACTGCCATCCCTTAGTCAAACTACACCAAGCCGAACCCCGGCTTCGCTCAGGGGGATGGCGCTTCGACTGTGTCTCGCCATATCTCAGGTGCGCGCGACCATCGCATTGGCCAGCACCGTCTCAGCGGTGGCGTCGAAGTCCTGGCCCCGACCGCAGCTGGGCCGCGGTCGTGCGGGGAACAGATATAGAGGGGTCGAATGCCCGGTACCACATACCTATTTCTTCTTCATGACCGGGGCTGTCTATGGATCAATCAACCAACTGGTAAAAGGCGGTGTCGTTGAACCAGACGGCTTCGCCCAAAAGAAAGACCAGACATGACAGGAAAGGAAAGATACTCCGTGATCACCGAACAATCAGAGAGGTCATGCCCCTTTAGAAGTGAATCCAGGAAGCCAACACATGAATAGACTCACTAGACTGACTGTGAACTATAGATGAAATATATAACACCCTCCCTCCACTTCTACAGCAGTTCTACAACCGAAAAGAAAACCCACGACTCCACGACGCTCATCTCTCGCTGTTGGAACCGCACCTGGAACCGGAACCGGCGACGAAGGCACCTTCTTCGCGAGCTGGGTCTCCATGGCATCGGTGCAAAAGGCAATGAGGCCAAAGCAGTTCTCAGGACCTCAAGGCTCGCCGAGTCATCCCCAGTGGGGAAGGGAGATAGAGGGGAGGGGGCGCTCCCCACCAGCCTGACTTCAGGTTCTACTAAGTGTCCATCAGAACATCCATGATGTAGACTGTTGATTCATAAAAAAAAACCATATTGAAGGGGTTCTAGACATGGTTTTACAATGCATGTCTGGGGAGTCTGGCTATCAATCCAGAGTCTACGACCCACCAAGGACCTTCGCACGACCGAGACAGATGTGGGCCACCCAAGACACGAAGAGCCTCCGTCACTTGGGGACATATATGGATATATCTTGGAGGAAACGGCTTCAGGGACTCCTCCGACCTTTTATTTATATCTCAACCAATGCAAAGTGATCTTTCTGGGAATCCAACATCTGGACAGGCAAGAAACTAGTGCCTCTCTCCTGAAAATGCCAGCAACGCTCGTCTGAAGCCTGTAAACAACTGCCAAAGACAGATCATAGTCAGTGAAAATGGCTCGGTCATCTGCAAAAACATGAAGAGGTTCTTCTTGGGACTTTGGAACGTTCAATACCACCAACTTTTCTCCATCCATCTTCCAGAGGTCTGAGGGAAATGCTCCGTGTGCCCAAAAGAATTATGTCACATCACGTCGGTCCTTGGCTGCTCCTCCAGTTCCTCCTGGAACACTGTCGGTCGGTGTCGGTCGTGTTTTGGATGTTTTGGATCAATGAGATGGTGACAATGGCAGACCATGGTGACAATGCTCCCCAAGATTCAAGATCTATCTTTTCATTCACCACAGATCTATCTTGAGACCAAAATGAAGATCTGAGCCAAGGCCAACCTGGTGAATCCAAAGGTATCGCTCAGAACACCTCGAAACCATGTCGAAAGCGGGAGTTTCTGTCCCAAACACGTCGTTCAGGCCATCGACGGGCGGGACGGGCACCCGGGCACCCGGACACCATCGACGGTTGGTGCCGTGTCCACCGGGTATCCCGAGATGCGACGCTTTGAAGACCTTGCTTGGGTGGGTCATCCAATGTGTGGACGTCATTCACCCCCCTTGAGGGATGGCGCCAGACCTGAAATGGCCTGAAGCTGTTTTGGAGCGTGAAATACTTCATCCAGGTCTCAAAAAGAACGTGCAAAGCACAAGGATGCCCAAAAAAAAAGGAAAACACCTCCTCCGCTGTTCTTCGCTCCCGGGTCCCAAACCCCCCTTCTTCTTGGGCGTTTTCTGGCCTCGAGATTCTCGAGGTTCACCAGCTGCTCCCAAAGCTCGGGGGTCACTCCGGCCCCTCGGGGGGCCAACTGGATTGGTTCCACGCACCATCTACCAATCTACGAAGGGAGTCATTTCTGCGACGAGGCTGGCAAGGCCCAAAGCTCGGGGTATGTCTAGGGGTATGTCATGCGATGTCATGCGTCAACCGATGTCCGCACGAATCCGGGATTTTAGGGCCGATGCCCGGTGCCACATATATACCTATTTGTTGTTCATGACCGGGGGAGTCCCCTCTATTGATCAACCAAGCAATGGATAAAAAGTTGGATAAAAGGCCATCTATGGTGCAGCTTTTGTTGTGTGACGTTCTTTCTTGTCCCTCTGCTTTCCCCGGCTCTTGGACCTGTGTGGAAATTCCTGCAAGTATTAAGCTGGCGACCCAGCAGCTGGGAAGCAAGCTCCTTGAGCAAACAACACGGTCAAATATGTATGAGGATCATACCAAATGTTCAACGACTTTCAGCGTGCACTGGCACACATCAGTCTCGAACGGTCGCCCTCTCCCATGAGGCTCAACCCAATGAAGTCATGTCGGGGGAGTTCGCCTGGACGTCATCTCAATGGTGTCTTCATGCCCTTACCCTGGAAGTCTAAGACCGTTTCAGAAACCGTCTCTCACGGAAAGACTATTCCTACAATAGTCTTTTGAAGTCTAGGGCTTACCAAAAGCTTTGCCGGAAGACATCTCAGACACTGGTCTCAGAGCCAAACGCTCTCTCCACAGTCTGTGAGTCACCCGGAGCCCCGAACTCGTAGCGACGCACCATGTCTGTTCATCCACTGCTGCTGGTCTCTCCGACACCACGGGAGCCCGACCGCACCGCACGACCGCAAGCGTCCTTGACGACATCACCGGGCGAACCTTTGCCGCCAATGAAGCCAAAGATCCTCCTGCCGGCGCAGGAGGATCAACCAGAGGGCCGGTATGGTCGAAGGGTCGGTGATCCTTGGGTTTAACTCCAAAGAATCTCAAAAGGGTTGTATCTGTCATGTATCTTCAAAGATAATGAATGATTTGATCGCCTTCCAAACGTTGCATCTTCCAAAATCTGAGGAAAAAAGGAAGTCTTGCAGGGCTGGGCGCACACATGCACACATGCACACAGCACGTTCGAGTGTCTACGGATGTCTACAGTCCGAAGCTCCAGTTCGATGCATTCACCGTCTCCCCACCTCATCCTATGCAGCTCATGTGGGCTCCGCAAGTCGAAAAACGACCAGCGTTCGCTGTGGCTGTGACGGTGGAAAGCCGCACTGTTGCTGCCTTTGCTTTCTGGTTCCGGTATGGAAATCTATTGAGGTCGATGCTTGTTGATGTTCTGATTTTGGCATGTTTGGGTTTGCTGACTCATCCTTATTGCTTGGCCCGCAAAAAGCTCGTTTTTAGGACATGGCAAGCATTGACAAGCTGCACGGGTGTGCATTTGCCTCTGCCACATGAGGAACCCAAATTCTCTTTGACTGGCGCTTGAGAAATTTGGCTGCATTTGAACAAATTCCAGGGTTCTCAAGCAGCTGCAAAAGACATCTCCGAGACATTCACAAATTCTTCTGGCAGTCGCATTTGTTGATGTAGTACAAGGGCAGCCTGAACGATTCGCATCCACGATCTCACTGTTGCTCGAGGTTTTGCTGACACGCACGTCCAGAATCTGGCGGCTGAACTCTGAGCGTTCATGAGGATTGATGTCTTGCATCAAAGCGTTGTGGTTGCATTTGGACTCAGAGAGGCAGCAGCTGTAGCAGCAGTTGTCAGATTGACTACCTGGCATAGGAAACACACAATATCATGCCGGAACGAGGGTGTGCGAGCACACCACCATGCTGCGTGGCTCAAAAGTTGTTGACTCAAAAGTGAGTCGGTGTTGTAAATTATACGTATCTTGGGCTCACCAACCCCCAGATCACCCTCAACTGCAGAGCTGTTGTTATGGGAACTGCAAATTTCAGGCCATGCTGCGTTGCCTCCTCCAGAGCTACTGTCTTCGGCCAAGATGGCAGCAAGAACCAGCCTGGACCGCTCACATCAAAATAAACATCAAAGAATTCATCGATGTCACGTGTTTCGCTCGATGTGGCTCCCGGAATCTACACTCTGAGACAGGGACATACACAGGCTTGAAGGAGCGGGAGCACCTTGAGGCAAAGGCGTTTTGTGGGGGATTAGGGGAGTTGGTGTTGCTTTAATGCTGGCCTTGATACACATCTGATGCATATCTGTCACACATTCTTGTCCATGAGCAGGCTGCCTCAAAGTGGGCTAGCTTTCCCAGTTGACTGAAACATCCTCAAACCAGCGCCGAAGAAGAGTGCAGGTCGCTTCACCCCCTGTCACCAGCGCCGGGCTCGCTCTTCAGAGTACGTACCAACCGGGGTCGGGGCAGCCGGGCAAGCCGTCGCAGGGCCTGCAGCCGTGGTGGACTGCAGGACTTCGGCAGTGTGAAGGGGTGGCCGTGGCACAGCCCGTCCTGCCAAAGCGCAACAGCACAGCTCCCAGTAAGGCCCAACGTCAGCAATCTGTAGATGAAACCTGCCGGTTGCAGTGTGCCCTTAGGCAAATGAGCCAGAAGATCAAAGTCATCTATACAAGCGGCGGCAAACTCAAATACACGATGGGGGGGGCCCTATCTCGAAAATAGTAGAAGGTCATGTCCTCTTTCAGACTACTTTATTACTCTATATATATATATAATACTTAGAAGTTCTTAGAAGTCCAAAGACTATATTTTGACCAACCGATGTAAAGGATATTCATTTTCGGGTCACCTAAAGACCATTCTGTTTATAGTCTTTGACTCCCAGGGCTGGATATATGTTCATCAAAGACTTTACAAAACTATATATTTAGTGTGGGCCCTATCTCGTTCACCAGCGAATGAATACTAATGTTGGACAAATAGAGATAAATAGAGCATCCCGTAGACTACTTTAGCCAAGACCAAACAAAAGTGCTCGCTCGGACTCAAATCCTCTGGAGGGGTCTGGGGTCGAACCAATCGGGCTGTGAAGAGCATCTGGGTGAATGCATTTCTGGTCGCAATCTGTGCAGATGTGGAGCAAATTCAACCTCTCAGATCGCATTCGGCCGAAAGCATTCTTCGGCCTGATGGTGTTGCTCCATGGCCGAGCAGCAAACCTAGCCCAACATGAAGAGACAAATAGAGGAACTTGTACCTGCCGAGCGGTGATTCAGTTTTGCAGTTGGCACCAGTGCCGTTTACACCATGTGTGTGTGTGTGTTCTGATTTGTGCATGCGATCAAGCCAGCCAGCACCACCCCAAGAGAGCAAAGAGATCGAGAGTGGGCGTATTGACCTGCTCTGATCTCAAATGGGTGGGATCGTCCCAACTCCAAGTGCTAGTGAAGAACTCCAATTCTCCAAGCGTGGCAGGCCCACAGCACCAGACATGAAGAGTGCTCCTTTCATCAGAGCCAGCTCCAGAATGAGCACCACCTTGATCTCCAAGCACCGGAATGATGAAAACCATCGGTCACCACCCACATCATAGCACAGCGGACGTAGAAAACCATGCTCTTCCCATGCCGATAGCATGACCAGTGCCCTGCACTGGTTGTCGACTTCCCCACTGTTCTACCTGATTCCTCCGACCTTCGACCTATATTCCAGGATGACGACTTACAACAACCCAACCTTTGACTCAAGGTCCTAGACAACCTTGTCAAAACACCCAATCTGTGACTGTGAGGTTTCAGGACCTGGCCAATGTTGAGCTGATGGTTGCAGAAAGGACTTCCGGAGAGAAGTCTTCCTGGCTCGACGCCGCCGGTCAGTGCCGCGTACGCGAGCTGTCGGTGCTTACGACGCACACAGGGGGCGAACCCATCCTCGACCCGGAGAACCGGCCTGGACCCCGCGAACCATTCCAAAGAGAACCACCTGATTTGAGCAAAAACAGACGGTGTGAGGAAGGTTTGGGAGGAGGAAGGGGAAGGGGATTCCATGATGCTTCCAAGTGTCACTGATTTGGTGGAAAATCAGGTGGACCACGCCCCAATATGGATATGTGTTATATATGTATATATATTATATATACATGTGTCACAGCACTGATTTGGTCGCGATTTCGTGAGATGCTAACAAGATGAGGCCCGAGGCAACACATGACGCGACGCATGGCACGACATCAACATGACATTCCTGCGAATTTCACCATCTAAGTCTACCCCCCAAACAGACCGTTCGCATCAGTTCACCCGTGGAATGGAAACAATTTGGAACGGGGAAGGCCAATTGTCTGGGGCAGCGTATAGCGCAGCTTTCCTCTACCAGGTGAAGCTACTTGAGCTTGCTCAACTGACTGAGTGGATAGTGGTGACTCAGGACTGAGGTATGGGCATATGTCACGAAGCCCATTGTGGGTATGTACAAATCTGGCTCCTGGATTGCTTCAGATTGAAAAGTTCTTCGAGCTGAACTTGGCCGTTGCTCATGGACTTCAGACATACAGCAATATGCACTTGCTCGTGTTTCTCTGTCATCTGCATTTGCTCCTCAATATCAACTTCCAGGCCATCAATGACTCTCACTGTCCAGTCCTGGCGGCGTTCGGTGTTGGCGTTCCGGACACCTCTCGGTCCGGTGTGTCCCCACGACAGACCGACGTCGTGATCGACACGACCCACTCGGTCCGGCGAGTCGGACCACCGAACACCTCAATGGTATTGGGGTATCCACTGGAAATGAGAGTCACAGAACCAATAGAGAGCAGGCATGAGCAGGCCATATCAATCATGGTTGATCTTGGATGATCCTGCATTCCCCAACAGCACGCCCCGCCTTGTCTCCACCCAACTCGCCGTCGGAGGACTTCTTCTTTGTACTGCGGGGGTGACAGGAAGGATCACTCATGGCCTGGGTCAAGACCTCACCATACCTCACCCTACAAACCGGGGGAGGTTGACATCCCGAGTTCTAGAGGTGCCTCGGTTCCGGATACATCGCAGGTCAACCAGGAGTCCGGGGTGCCATGACCCACAGCTAGATATTAACATTGAGTCCTGCGAGGTGGTCCGACGTCCAGGGACTCTGATCTCGGCGACTCGGATTTGCACGTCTTTGTCACGGCCCTTTTTCGTCCTCCACATCTCCGCTCCGCCCAGACCGGCCAGACGTCGTAGACAACCGGGTCCGGTGGACCCAGTTTCAACGAACATGTCTCAGCGAGAGCTCTGCGAGCGGTGAGACGGAGACATGTCTCTGCGCGCGTCGCATGCGTCGCGATTTCATGAAGCAAGCGGCTTGCCACCTGAGAGCAGGGATGACTCGAGTCACGGCGTTTGGATCATCAGTCCAACCTCCATTGACAGCTTCATTCACCTGGCAGATTCGCAGAAATCCAGGTGCTGAAGTTGTATGGTGGAGGTACCAAAAACAAAAGAACATAAAAGAACAACATCCTCATGTCTTGACCATGTCGACTGAGACTCTCAGTGCCTCCGCACTTGGGTTCTTTCCTGTCACAGTGAGCGATGCGCTCGGTGACTTCGGATGGTGAGCGATTCCGTTCAGGCACCAGCAGGTGACGATCCATCCATTGGATATATTGGATTCTGAGCAATCCATCATAATCCATCCATCTCCCCACTGATTTGACGCTGATTTGTTGAAGCGAAAGCAACCGGCAGCGAGCCAGCCTGATCGCCAGCAGCCACAGCATTTGCCTGCTTTTTTGATCTTTTTGGGGGGCCAAGCCAAGTCGAGATGAGCTCTCGATCTTTCTTTCCAAAAAAGGATGAGCTCTCCATCGATGTCTGTCTTCCAACAACGCGATCGGTGAGCCCTCAAGGCATCGGACAGGCAAGGCAGCTGGCCCACACTGCAAGTAGCCCAGCAAAGATCAAAGCCTCGGAACATCGCTGGTGTCGCAGTCCGGTCCCCTTCGCCGTGCCGCTCGCCGAGCTGAGGCTCCGAGCCAGGGAAATGGAGGTGGCCGCCTGGATTCGGAGGTGGCTGTGGGTCCGAAACTCCTCGAGGTTCGGTGGGGTTTCCGGTCAACCGGATCCATCGCGGGTACCGGGTCAACCGGTCCGTTTGGCGGTCAAGAGCGATGGATCGATTCTGGCGCAAGCCATTCTTCAGCCGGTCCGTGCTGGTTGATTCCGGCAAACTGGCTGAGCCATACGGAAATTGCATGCACCGAGTTTTCACTGTTTTGCTACCTAGCCCAACGATGTGGGCCGAAGAGCACTAGCAGTGAAGGCTTAAAAAGGAACATGATACGGCCCGAGTCTCTGCTGTCATGGGCGAGGAATGGGGGAAAGGACCTGCAGTGATGGGAGGAATCCATCGACCAAGAAAAAGGAAGTCTAGAGAAAGGAAAGGCCCAAGCCTTTTCGAGATTCTTCTTCACACACCTCAACGATGGTCAATGGTCCAGATTAGTTATATTATATACCGTATAGATATATAACCGTGCACACCAGTGATCCAGCTGCATGGGATGTCAACAAACAAGAGCTGGCACTCCCCCATAGACCCACCCTTGCCTCTTCTGCATGTTGTCTCACATGTTGAAGGTGTAAGCACCATTGCCTTATCAAAAGTATTCAAAAGTATTCAAAGGTGATGTGCGGATCAGTCCACTCGACTCTGCTTTGGTCAAATCCAGGGTCCATACACTGCCAGACCAATTGAAGAGCAAAGCCAAAGCAAGGGCCTTTTCAAAGCGCTGTTTCAAGCTCCGAAGCACAAGAAGCTTGAGTGTGAAGTTTTAACAGGCGTGGTTTTTCACGCTAACATGAGCCATCAGCTATGTTTTAGGCTCCAACACATGTCAAAACGACTTATTTGTCCTTTGTTTCCCGTTGACTGCTCATATATGGCTCCCCCCGACACCGCAGATGCGGAACTGGGACTCGGTCGCAAAGGCCCCACGGCTGCCAGCAACGGCAAAGGACGTGGCAACCACGAAGAACTGAGAGGGGTTGATGTGTGTTGCCACGTGGAGTCGTGGAGGGTGTCACATCCTCTCCACGAAGGCTCGTGCGTTGCAACACAGCGTTTCAAGACTTCAGAAGACTCGCAACAAAAAGTGGTTCACCAAAGAGATTCCAAATGTTAATGAGTTGTTGCTAGCTTCTGTGCTTCTCAAAAGTGCGGACCGTAGGCCTTCATTCACGATGTCTGTGAAGCCGCGGAAGCGACTGAGGTCAGTACCAGGGTCGCTTCATGGAGTTCATCTCCGAGATACGGAACAAGTCTTGAGTTGATCACCTCAAGATCTTCGACAAGTCTCCACTGCCGTAACTGGTGCTTGAAAAGCGTAGCAATTGGAAGGACGTTGGAAGGACATGAGACATAGTAGAAGAGGCCGTCTTCCCCTGCCCCCCCCCACGGGTCTTTGTTTCATCGAACGTATCCTTTTGGTCCCTGGAAAGGTCGCAACCGGGGCTCGACATGGCTCTATTTCCATGGCTCACACCAGTCCCTGGATCCATCGTTTCGTAGGCCTTTGTTTCAAAAGCAAACCGAGGAAACGCGACACTGTAGTAAGCGTCTGGCCGACGCACGCAGCGTGAGTCTCTGGACCTCAACAGCGTGAGTCTGACCAACATCTAAAGGCCTCTCCCACAAGACACCCCATTCCAAGCACCACGCGTAGTAATCTCCAAGAAGATACACTATGGTACCTCTCACCAGCGGTAGGAAGGGCCCCTTCGTGCCTTCGTGCGCTGGTGCCCCGACCCGACCGACCGACCTCGCGCTGACCGAAGCCACATCGCCCCCTCGGGCACATGCTAGGACTTGCATCCGATTAGCCAACCGAGCCACTTCGCCTTCCTGAGGGCCGGTCGGAAGCGTTGCGAAGCACGCACGGCACGGAGGAAACCGAGAGGAAGATGCTGCAGGTGGGGTCCCTCTTCATCAACTGTTGATGCTTGGGCATCAGTCTTCCCACCCTAGACAGGACACGTCGTTTCCTTGGCTCACCAGCAAAACCACCATGGACCACATTGACCGAAACAAACTTCAGGTCCCCGGCTGCAGATGTTAGAAAGGCAAAATCCGCCTCAGCTTGGCCAGTGAAGCTGAAAAGCTGAATTGTTCAACAAAGAGGCTGTCTTGAAGGCCCAGCCTCTCCCAAATCCTTCACCATGGCAGCAATCTACAAAACAGTTTTGGATCGTGTGGGGGCAAGATGCTGAACTCGCAAGTCTAAATAATGTCTTTCTTTACTACAAACCTGCATACCTTGGCTGTGCTTGGGTCCAGTGGGGCAGCACGGAAGAAGGACGCCTAGTAACTTGGTAGAGGTTTTCGGCATGCAACCATCTGTGGTCTGTATACTCCTGTGCTGATTCTTCAGGAAAGCTTCCTTTGATTTCAGCCAATGCTGCGGCCAAGGCTGCGTGATTTTTTCACCCCATCAACGTTCGAGGAAGATTCGAGAGCACGGCGCGCATGGGCTCTTTGATCCCTGAGCCAAGTCCTTGAACTCACGGCATTTGGGCTACAGTTTCATCATGATCAACAAGTTCTGTTGGAAGAATCAAAGTTTGGCTCCAAGAACTCTAGAACATCCAAAAATATATTGTTTGGATACACGGATACACCCAACAATAGCTATATAGAATAAAACCACACCTTTCATGTCAGAATGGCTATACCTGTGAGGGACTGGCAAAAAAGAAGGGGCACCTATGGAATGGAATGAGCTGCCACAAGATCTTGCGCAGGACATAGCCATGGTGCACCTCAAGGACTTCACTTCCACTCCTCACTCCGACTGACGAGCACACCACATGGGCCAACGTGGATGGCATGGTCCCAAGTTCGGAGGACGACCTTCCTTTACGAAGCGCGCACGGAACCGTGCGGCGCCGGAAGGTGCCATCTGGTGCCTTTCTACGGGTTCCCCACGAAACCGGGCCGCCCGGGCATTGAAGTATCGCCGTGTTGTTTGTACAAATTGAGGCCAAAGGCTCATAGAACCTGGCGTTTTGGGCGCCCAGAAACTGTGGCGTGTGTTCTTTTTTCTTTGCGTTGTTTTCTCGTGAAACATCAACAGTTTGTCCCTTGTTGGATGGTGTCAGTGCTGTGGAAACTTCATCGGTGCCTGAAAAACAAGCGTTTTGGTTGATGCGGTGTTTTCACACACAGGTAGCTGATCAAGACAGGCAGGCGCAAACTGGATGTCAGTTCTCGGGCAAACTGATTCATCATGGCGCTCGTGACAGCATCGGAGATATTTTGGCCCTGGCCGATGCTGTCACGTCGGACGTCCGATCTTCCACGTCCGTCCGATCTTCCGGACCGCCGCGACAGAGGAGCCGCCAACAACGGAGGTTCGAATTCCCGATGGCCCGATGTGTGTCTTTAAAAAAGAGAGTCATGTAACATCAAGCACCCGGAGCCAAGCTTTAAAATGAACAAAAGCAGTAACAAGTGCCACGCTACTAGTAACAAGTGCCACGCTACTAGTAACAGGTGCCTTACTACTAGTAACAAGAAGCTAGTAACAAGAAGCTCGGATCCCGGCAGATCCCGGCAGATCCGGCGGTCGCTCCGTGTCTGCTCCAGACCTGCGCCTCCGGAGCTCCAGAAGGCGCGGTACTGGCGCGCCCTGCAACGCCCCTGGCTCCGCCAGTCCCCACATCCTGATTCTCAGCGCTGTATTTCGAGATCCAGGGACCACGGGGAAAAAAAGGGCCAAGGACTTTTGGGCCCAAGGACGCCAGAAGTGGAGAATCTGAGATACTGTTTCGTGATTATCCCCGTTGATTGTTTATAGGGGCGTCGATTCTTCATGTTATAGGATCTTGACTTTGTAGGGTTACGGTCTTGGGGATCATTTGATAGTGACACGTAGTGACATTGAGTTCTTCAGATTCATTGCTAGAATCTTGAATGCGAAGCTGCCGCGAAACACAAGAGGACATCTGGAACGGTAACAAGGATGTTGGCAGTTTATATGACTCAATCAACTAAATCATACTAAATCACAAAACGACCATCAGCAGTTTCAAAGAAAATGGATCAAACCGGCAGGAGAATCCATGGCACCATGGTGCCTAATGTGGAGATACGTGTGGCAGGACATACAAACGGAGATACAGAAATGATCATACATGGGGATGGTCAGGGAAGGGTCGGGTCAAACCCTGGTAGGTCTGGTTGGTCTCATCACGTCCGACCAGGTCCGACCGAACAAAAGTTGGTAGATCAACCGGTCAAATGACCCTGGTGCCATGACCCTTCCCCACAGCCAGTTCATCGTGTTACTAGTAGTTTCTTGTTACTAGTAGTGATGCACTTGTTACTGTACTAGTAGCGATGCACTTGTTAAGAGTAGTCTCTTGTTACTAGTAGTAATGCACTTGTTACTAGTAGCGATGCACTTGTTACTAGTAGTGTCTTGTTACTAGTAGTAATGCACTTGTTACTAGTAGCGATGCACTTG